TATATATATATATATATATATATATATATATATATATATACAAAAACAACAATCAACATCGTTGTTTACCAAACTGTTATATATATATATATATATATATATATAAGAAACGGATCGTGCAAAGCATTGTTTCAATCTTCTTGGGCCCCATCAGTGCGGATCCATCGGAATGGTTCCAAACGAGTGATGACCCCGAAACCGGTTACAAGCTGAGCGAGGTGGCCGCATCCCTCATGCTGAGATATGCTGTTCGTATCGTGTATGGACAAAATGAAAAGCGTTTTGATCAACTGACTGGTAGTCGTGGTAGTATGCTTGGGCTCTACCTTTAAGGTTCCAGATTGAGTGCTGCATTTGGTTGCTGGATTCACACTGCTAATGCAACCCATCTGTGTGGGAACAGATGTGCAGTGCCTCCTGCTTTTCATTTCACGCTTCGCTTGCTCGATGAAATCCACTTTTTTCATTACATTCTGAAACAGTCCAGCAAATTCATATTAACTAGTTTAGTCTTGGGATTGGAACCCTTCGCTGCTAGCCCTACCTATTACATTGTCATTCTATGATTTCTAATTTGTGCTATTCACAAGTTCATCCATCAGTCGGACTTAATCTCACGTAAAAGCTAGTCACTGTAAAGCAAGTAAGTAAGAACTAGGTCGAATGAATTACAATCTGGTGAAAGCGGTTGAATATTCCATTCGCCGAAATTTCAACTGCAATTTTCATTTATTTTGTTCCAATTATTAATGCTTATTGGTACTTGTCTATGTTGTGACCGAAAAAAAGTAGGCATCTGGTTAACTTCAGTTACGCGTCGACTTGCATTATTCGCTCTATCTTCGTTCTTATATGTTACTGATATATAAAATTTTTTCAGCGAAGTGTCTCGTTCCCATAGCTCTTCGCACAGCCGTCCTCCAGATCATTTGTCTTGCTCTTTTTGTTTTGTCAATAGTCTATGGTCCTGCCGATACATCACGTCTGTTCTCCAATCCCATGGGTCAGGCACATGGGTCCTGGTCAGACTTTGCCTCCAATACATCATCCGCAGCTCCTGGTCCCGGATCCGGGGGTACCCCTAGTCACGGGGCTCGACCACATGTGAGAAAAGATGCATTTTCCGATTTGCTTAACGATTTCGGCGAGTCTACCTCGTGGCAAGCAAATGCAGATGGTTCAGGTCAAACGAAAAGTATCAATCAGATGCGACGCGAACAATTGGCGAAAACCACCGACCCAGATCAATTGAAGGTAACCCTTTAATTTTGATAATGACCTATAACTGTTCACCTTTGTTCTACTGGAGTTCAATCTACCAGTAGGCGAGGTTTTATCAGTCGCCTTGAGCATGTGGTATTCATAGTGAGTACCGCCTAACCAGTAAGGTATAAAAAAGAACGTGAATTACTTTGGTTAACACACAGTACAAAGTTTAATTTTGTCCATATATCTCTAACGTAATCAGATATGACAACAGGACCGGATGTGCTGTTGATTTGCAACCGTCCTCAGTCAACCCTAAACGGCACCTTTGGGATACTACGCAGCTAAATATGCGCAGCATATATGACTTCGCCTCGTAAATATACTTTCATTTAACGTGAAAGATGCCACTCGATGGAGTTTGAGAAAAACAAAGCAGTAGAACCCTGCACATCCGAACTCCATGTAACAACATTTTTTCGCTTGAACACTCATTTGCCCAGCGATCAACTTGATGCTGCTAACTGTCACGCCTCATCCCAGTTGTGCTTATGTAGATGTAGTACACTGAAGTCCGAAACCTCCAGTAGGCGAATGTTAAATCCGTAAAATTATGTAGAATAGTATTGAGTTAGGCAACGAACAGTGGAGTTCGCTTCACTGTATTACGCTGTACAATGATGATGATGATGATTGAGTTACGTGCAACGTGATAAGTCAAAGTCCAAATTGTCTCGAGGTTCAGAGTAAAAGACAGGATATCCTCATGGATAAACGGGAACATTCATGTAAGATCCAGTTTATGGATTCTACGTCTAAAAGTGCAAGGTTGTGAGTTAAGAGGGAGACAGAAGGTGAGGGGATGTTCCACAACTTGGCAGTTCGGGGAAGAAAGACGAGTAGAGCAGAGAAGTCCGGGATCTGTGAACCAAACACTTTAAGGATGACTAGATGCCTGTGTACGGGACGGGTGGGCAAAAATTACAGGAAGATTCACTGCTGAGGCAATCTCCGAAGAACAAAAACAAAAGTAGTAACGGTAGAGCTGGGACAATGAAGTAACTACTCGACGACGCGCTAGTGACTGCGGATTGGATGTTAGGAAGGATTATTCATCGCTGAACACAATCAAGAAGAGAAAACGAAGCCCCACCCCACACGTGACTACGGTATTCAGGAGTAGGGCAGATTTGAGCTTTGTGCAGTAAAAGAAGATGAGCTGGGGTGAAAAAGCGTCTGGTGTGGAATAAAAATCCAACTTAGCACGCTGCATGAGAAGCAAGTTGGGCTATTTAGAGGGAACCAGCATAAAGAAGAGGCTACAGGTAATCCAAGAAGGGAAACAAAGTCTGTGGAAGGCAATTGGGGCTAGCGAATGCGGTTTCAGAGAAATCGAAGGAAGACAGTATTAGAGGGTGATGTCGGCAAACGAATGGGTTGGGTTGACAGTTTTAGAAAGATCATCGATAAGTAGAAATAAAGAGGGTGAGCACAAGTATTGAACCTCGGAGAGCGTCAGCATTCGTGGGGAACGGCTGAGTAGAATGACAACAACTGGAACGAAGATGGTTTGCCCACCGAGGAAACTTAATATCCACGCCACGAGCGCCGGAGGGAACCCGAACATGAGCAGTTTCGCCGGTAGACCTTCATGCTAAACTCGGTCGAAGGCCTTTGAGATATCAGACGAAACCAAGTGTGTTTCTTTGTTGTTATCATGTGCAGCCGACCAGAATTGTGAGACAAGAGACAGCAAGTCACCGGTGGAACAACGCCTTCGGAAACCATACTTGCGGTCGCTCATCGGTCCTACACGTTCGAGGAACGTGCGTAGTTGGTCGGAGATAATAGTTTCAAATATTTCCCAGTGAACAGATGTGAGGGAAACGAGTCGGTAATTGTTGGGGTCAGAAAGATCGCCACGTTTGGGAATGGGAAAAATCACGGTGTGTTTTCAGTGGGTTGGAAAAGAATCAAGTTGTAGGGAAAGACTGAAAAGATGACGTAGGACAGGAATCAGCTCAGGGGGACACATGTTGAGGACATTGGGTGGAATATCTTCCAGACCGAGTGGTTTGTTTGTGTTTATAGGGCGTAATGTTTTGTGAATTGTCCCAATGCTAATCAAAGTAAGAAAAGCGTCGCCACTGAAATAGGGAGCAGATGGAGAGAATAATTTGGTAAGGTGGAGTTGACAGCAAACTGGGAAGCAAAAGCCTAAGCTTTTTCGTGTAGTCAAGATACTAGATCACCAGAGGAATTACAGATAGGCGGAGATCGGAAGAGCACAAATAACCGGAAGTTACTCTGGCAAGGAACCCAAAATGTTCGACTGTCGGTGGCGGATGAGACCAGGCTTTCGGCTTTACAAAGAACGAAGCGTTCTTTGGTTCTCTGGATGGTTGTCGGGCATCTGTTCCTAGCTCGAACGAAGCGATGGTGTAAATCGGGAGTGGACGAGCGGCGCCAGCGGCTGAAAACTGAGCGTTTTAGACGCACAACACGATTGCATGCATGGTTAAATCTCTCGGGGGATTTTAGTTTGCCGGGTTTGAAAAAGTGTGAAATAAAAAATGCATACCTTGAAGAGCAGTCGGTGAAGTGTTGTAGCGCCAGTATTTGTCTTGAGATGGGTGATGGGTCAGGTTTGGTAAATATAATAGACAAAAACAATACAGTGATCTGATGAGCCAAGAGGAGGGAGAGTGCAAATATCTGAGAGGAAAGAAGGAACGGAAGTAAGAATTTGGACGAGTGTATGGGCACGATCACCAGCTCCATTAGGGACACGTATGGGTAGGTCAACTAGTTGGCTCAGTTTGTTGATGGACGCAAAATATTCGGGTCGCACCCCAAAGAACAAGTGGCGGAATAACGTGCCGACCACTCCTGATCATGCATGTTAAAATCTCCCGAGATGGGAACATGGCAGTTGGGGTCGGTTGCAAACAAGTGTTCAATGTTCGAAGATAGAAAATCAAAGATAGAATAATCGCCACTATTGGGGGAACAATATAGAACACAAGAGTAATAGTTAGAAATCGAGGCTTCAACTAGATCAGCTGAAATTCACCATTGGAAACGTGGAGTTTTCGGATTTGGAGGCGGTGACCGACTGGTGGATAAGGGCGCAGATACCAGCTTTGGGTAGAAAGAAGTGGAAAACGTAGTCGGGGACTTGAAGGTGAGTGGTGTCTGACGAGGGAGAGGTTTGCGTTTCAGTCAGAAAAAGGACGAGTGCGCCGTTAGATTCGAATCCAGTTTACAATTTATTCCACAACGATCTTATCCCCAATAGGTTCTTAAATGCTTTCACCCAACTAGAAAAGTGTTTGAATAGCCATGGGTGTGTGTAACTCTATGAGATAATCCACATCACAGCGATGGCTTCTAATCCTGATTGCTTTTGCAATATTGTCTATGGGACTAATAAAATTGCTTCTTTTTTTGTTCGCGTGATTGATTTCCCCCACTACCACTTATCTCTCTTGACTGCCCTGTCCGACTTCGGGGCACACTTTTCCATTGACGACGAGACTTGATCGTCCCAATCACCTGATATGTGTGTTTGATTCATAAAACAGAACAAATACGAGGGCTCGTGAGCCAGTGAGAAATTTCCCATCTGCAAAATTGATTAATCCGAATAAATAGCGACCAAGTCCAGTAACTATTGTACGGATACCCCCTCCACCACACACAAGGAGAAACGCACTGTCCGGAAATCAGAAAGATCGTGGTATTATGTACCGAGGAGCCTTATCAATCAAACTGTTAATTTAACTGAACACCCCAATACGTAAACACTTAGGGAGTTTGCCCATTCGTGAACAGCACATCTGCTCTTCGATCTGCTTCACACATATTCAACAGTAACCAAAGTATCCTAACATTATTCGTGGGCCCAATAAGGTTGTAACTGTGCACTAAACGCTTCGAAAAATCAAATCGATCCCTGCCTCGATTTCTACCCGATCGTAAAATTTTGGAGCGTCCACAAAGGCTCGCCACGAAGATGGTCACAAGACAGTATTATGATTCATACATGGGGAGATTGCAGTCATTGGGTCTATACTCTGCTCAGTATCGTCGGATTCGAGGAGACTTGATTTTAGTGTACCAAATACTACATAACCCAAACCACCCTTGTCGCCCACTTTTGACGTTGTCATCAAACGTTCATCGACGGGGAGATCCATTCAAGTTACTACTCCAGAACTCTCGACTGGACTGTCGACGTCATTCCTTCGCCGCCAGAGTATGCACTGTCTGGAATTCCTAATCATCTCATATCGTTTGTGCCACGACGATTGATTCTTTCAAGGTAAAACTTGACGAATCATTAACACACATTACATTGCAACATCTATGAGCACACAACACACCGAATACAACATGGAATTTTATTCATCATTGTTACAGTTCAATTAGTGCAAACACCCTATGGGACAAGAAAAACATCTGCTTGTATGTAATGCCCATATCGATCAATGCACAGTCATGAACATAAGGTCAACTAATTAAAATGAGTGTAAAGTTTAAGAAGAGAGTCTGAGAATATGGGATCAGTTAGTGTCAAAGCAGCGAAGCATTCTGAGTCAGTTGATTTTACACCCTCAAGGTGGTTTGTGTTTTTTTGGTTTGCATCGCTCTTCAAAATACCACCAACGTCAGGTTTCGGTTACGCAATAACTGATCGATTGGGTCGGGTCACCCCGACAACCTGTTCTCATGATGAATCGCACAATCGCTGAAGCTGAATTTCATCGTCTTGACTGCAACGTTTGGGTGTATTGCGTCATCAAGGTGGTGGACCCACTTGCACACGGGCTCCACTAATCATTGAACCAGACCGATCTGTTTTGTCTGCTTATAGATATCATTGTAGCTGAAAATGAAACTGCTCAAACCGTGTGAAGTTCTCGGATCTGCAGTTGTGAATGTTCGAACAACTAGTGGTCTAGTCTGGTAGATAAATGGTCTAGAAATTGAGATGGTCCCTAGAAAGTAGCCCACAGCACAATTTTTGTTGACGTTTATGACCTAATGGAATAGAGCCCAACTCACATAGTCGATATTTTCTGTTATTTAAAAACTTGCCACTCCACACCGCCATATTGTATGTAATTCTTGTAGTTTACAGTCACAACAACCATAAAATAATGTTCCAATCACCGCGGTGAATGGAACGAAACTGCTGAACATAATTCTAAAATATCCCTCCAAACTTATTTTGGTCGATATCACACATATTGGCAACCTCTATGGGTGCTTTGGTGTCACAGCATGTTCGTGACTTTTTTGAACGAAGCAGCGTTATCTAGGCAGAACTAATTGAGAATACATTGATCATTAGTTGGTAGTTAGGTGATAAACGCATGAGGATAACGGTGCTTTTCGGCCGCCCCAGTACTGTGTTGTTTAAAAAAGGGCACTGACAGAATGTTTGATTTACTCTAGAAAATGACGCAATGTTTCACAATATGAAGGCACAATGTGTCCATTGCTAGTTAAATCCCTGCCATGGATTATTCTATTCTCATCACAGTCATCGTTCTTCACTTGGTTTACTACGTAGTAACGTTTCCTTCCTGGTTTAAATGCAAATTTATTTACCATTAACACCTACACTGGGGATTGCACACCAATTCTTTAGACAAATCTGTGCGATGCTGCGACAACGTTTCATGTTATCCTCGACCAGTGCATTTAAGCATCCCGGCTATTTCCCACCGCTCTACCAGAATTTCTCCAACCTCCCAGTGTGCTCTCACTTGTTGTTTTTAATCAATTCTGTTGTTTTTTTTGTTTTCAGGTCCAGGATTGGGCAGAAGGTAAATCACGCAATGTGCGTGCGTTGCTTTGCTCACTGCCGGCTATTTTGTGGGACGGAGTGCGTTGGAAGCCTGTCAGCATAGCGGATTTGATCAGTGCCGAACAGGTCAAGCGTCAGTACCGAAACGCCGCGCGTGCCATTCATCCTGACAAGGTGAGTATTGCTTTTATTTACTATTTTGGTTGTTGTTGCTGTTCTTCCTGGTGATTAAGAAGCATCATCAGCAGTGAAGTACAGCGTTAAATCAATGCTTTGCTCAAAATAATTAACCGAGGTGCACAACTAGCGAGGAGCTTTATGTCATCTCTGCTGAAATATAAAATGCACGACCATACAGGTCCACATTCAATTCTTGTTGATCCGTTACCTCTAATGTTCCTTCTCCGTCACGATCAAACCGCACCTTGACGTGGTGTGATGGTTTTCGCACCTCTGACCCAACGAACCACACAGGACGGCTTTTGTTAAGTCGAAGATCTAGCCGTGCCTGGAGAGTCGAAGCCTACAGGTCAGGCAAACTGCTGTCTCCTGGTCATCCAGGTTGAGAGTTTGACTCGAATTGGCGCCTCAGCTGGTGAAAATGGTGGAGGAGTACGTGATTAAAATAAATGGCCCGATACTCCGCCTTACCCGGTATCTTGTGGTCGGGTTCCTATCAGAACCGAAAACTCTCTTTGACAACCCTAGTCTTTCTCTTGCTGGGTAACGGGAGTTCTGTTCAGTTCTTACAACCATTAACCATGCACTTTCGTGCGCCGGTTTTGGTTGCCCATTTGGATGAAACAGCAGAATGATGATTAGAACGTTAAGAGCAGATTCAAGCGGAAGGTAGCACATTTTCATAGACCGAAGTTAGAAGAATAATGAGTAGATGCATGAGCGCCACTGTTTGCAACACCCAGCCATATCGCTCAGTGTCTCTAACTATCGGTAACCATGAGCTCTGGGTCTCCAGTCAGGGAGCCTAACGGGGCCTATGTGAGCCAGTC